GTGGGGGCCCCCGGGGGGCCCCCGGGGGCCCAGGGGGACCCCGGGGGGCCCCCCGAGGCACTGGGGGCCCCCGGGGCCCGTCTTGGTGAAGGGGACAGCGAGGCCCTTCAGCTGCGGCCCCTCGGAGGGGCCCCCATGGAGGATACTGCTGGGGGGCCCCCCAGGGGGCCCCCCGGGGGGCCCCCCATTCCTGCAAAGCAGGACCTGCAGCTGCAGCAGCAAATGGTTGGGGCCCCTACTGCAGCAGCAGAAGGCTCCAGCAACCTGGGGGCCCCAAAGCAGGGGCCCCCCAAGTGCAGCTTGGAGGGTACTAGCCTCTCTGCTGCGCCAGTTTGTGCTGCTGCAGAAGAAGTTGGGGGGGCCCGCTTGAGGCCTTTTGCTTCTAAAAGGGCCCCTGGGGGGCCCCCCAGGCTTGAAGACATTGACCCGTGGAGTGTCTCTGCTGCTTCCCCGCAGCAGCAGCAAAACCCTGGCCGGGAGCCCCAGCTGCTGCTGGGGGCCCCCCACGAGGAGGCCCCCTGGGGGGCCTCCTGGGGGGCCCCCCGAGCCTCGGGGGCCCCGGGGGGCCCCCCAAGGGCCCCCACAGCAGCACAGTCGCGGCTGTCAGAGCTAAAAGAGGCAAAAGAAGACCTAAAAGGGTACAGTAAAGGCAGCAAAGACCCCTGGGGGCCTCCCCAGGGGGGCCCCCTTGGAAGGGAGCGAAGGGGGCCCCTGTACCCTCGCAACCCGGCAAGAGAAGGGGCCCCTAGGGAGGGGGGGGCCCCCACCACAAGACTCTGGGGGCAGCAAGCCCAGGGGGGCCCCACAAGAACATGCAAGGGGGGCCCCCAGGGGGCCCCTAGAGGCAAAGGGGCCCCCCAGGAGGCAGAGCTGGGGGGCCCCCTGAGGGTATCAGAGGCCACAAGACTGGGAGGCCCTCACCCGCAAGCCACTAGAAGGCACCCCTACCGTGAGCAGCAGCAGCAGCAGCAGCAGCAGCAACAGCACAAGGGGAGGCTCCAGGAAGAGGTACCTCATTTAGGGGAACGGTGGGCCTCAAATGCCTCCAGGGGGGCCCCCCGAAGGGGCCCCCTGCCAGCGGGGGAAAAGAGGCCCTCGCCGTACCCTTGTGTACGTGGAAGCCCCCGCAGCAGCAGCAGCAGCAGCAGCAGCAGCAGAGCTCAGGGGGTCACCTCATACCACTCGCCCCACCGCTCCTGGGCGCAGGGCTATAGGCGACGGAGGTACAGCAGCAGCAGCAGCAACAGCAGCAGAAGCAGCAGCAGCAGCATCAGTAGGAAGCGCTGCAGCAGCAGCATAAGCCGCAGGCACCGGCGCCGCAGCAGCGAAGGTCAATTCAGAAGACGACGCAGCAGCAGCCGCAGCAGCAGCAGCAGCAGCAGCAGACTGCTCAGCA